TAACAATCTTATATCATTCGATAGACAAATGTTGGCTCTATCCCGGAAAGAAAAAATGACTTTTCTACAATATGTATAACTCGAGTTATAAAAGAAATACAAAAAGTATTTTTTTTTACCGGCAGAATTAGGTCACCAGACTCTACATATCTAAAGTAACTTTTCTGACAAATACTCTAGTTGTTTTCTCGAAAATTCTGAGTTTGGTATTCCGATTAAGGAAAACCTATTCTTCGAAAATACCGGTTTTTCATAAACTTTGATTAAAAGCTCTAGGAGCTCGAGAAAATTTGATCAAGAAATCAAGTGCACGATTTCGAGAGCCTGATTATAGGTTCGATTTTTTTATCCAGGAAAGTGTTGATCATACTTTATACAAATTCATGAGGAAAAAGATAAAATCTATGAAATTTTCGTTAACCGTTACTTGGTATTGTAATTGTAGCTTTCTTTCCTAGATATCTACCAAAAAATTTCAACGATCATAACGAACTAGTCACTAAAAAGTTCTAAGAATCACATCTTGAAAACGATTTAGAAACTAAAGGTAACTTATTAACCTCGGTGTGATCAGGTCTATGATAGGAGCTGAATTGTTCGTCAGATCAGAAGTTTTACTAAATTATCATACCCCTACTCTGGTTTGCTTTTTATTATTATTATTAGATAAGTAAAGCTGTTCGAGATTTAGCCTAATGAAGTCTCGTTTCGCAAATGACACACTGTCACTAAAGCAACTGGCGCTACCATCATCTTTCTAAAAGAAGTTCAGCAAAAGATAGGGTCCAAGATAGAACACTTTTAAACATAGAGAACTATTTTTTATTAGATCTGGTTTTTTTATAATACTTGAAACCTTTGATAGTTTACCAATAAACGAATGAAACATAAAAAAGATCAGTATCGTCGCTAAAACCATAAATGGCTCACAGTAGCACCGATTTTCTCTAGAGACTAAGCAATTATTAAGTGATGCATCAGATTTATTAATATTCTTTTCATTTAGATCGATATAATCTCAAGCAAAGTTATTGTGTCGATTCTATTCATATATGAGCTTTCTTGATGAATATCTGAAAAGAGAAGCATTCCTAACCAACCACTAGCTTTTACCTTAGACATCTATTCTATGCACATTTATACATCATTATATCATGAAAATCCGAGGCCAACATGCAATATTACTCATTTCCTTACTTTCACTACTAATTCTTACGCAACTGCATCATTTGGTGCCAAATGCCAAACAAAAGTCAACTACTGCTTCAAATAAATCTTCGAATGATAATGTTCAACTTAATTCTAGAGATTATATCAACGTTGGTTTCAGTGAATTTGAATTTTTACAATCGAAGCAACACGAGATAGAACTTGAACAAAAGTATAATGTAACCGCCATATTACTTCATTGGAAACGATCAACAAGTGTTGCAAGAGCCGTAAATTATTTAGTTGATTCAAATCTTTTCAAAGAAATTATCATTTGGAATAATAATCCAAACATAAATCTTAATAAAACTATATTTAAAAAAAATAATCATTCATTAGATTCTATTCGTATAATCAATTCAAAAGAGAATCTTAAAGATGAAGCCAAATATCGTGCATGTGCTGAAGCAAACACTATGGGTTGCTTCTATGTCGATGATGATTGGGATG